TTTTCACAGTGGGCACTCTTCTTTGTCCCACGGGAAGTGCAAGTGTGAGTGACAAGGTGCTAAAAGTAATGGCCTGCACAGAAAATAACTGGAAAAAATTTGACTGGGCTTCCTTTGGTGCTTGACGAGCCTCAGTGAGGAAATTAAACGGTACAATAGGAGCAGTAAGGAAGGACAGACCGAGAGTGCCAGAGTCGTCGAGGGTGCATCTACTTTTTATTGATACTTGCATATTTCCTTACAAAAATATCCCTGTTGGATATGCTTTGAACATTAACTGTTGATGTATTATGTAATTTGATTTTTGAGTCATATTTTTTCTTTCTCTGCAGTTGCACTTCCTGCAAAGGTTCCCTCTACAGGGAGGTGAACCAAAAGACCAAGACGCCGTCACACATTGGGATGATAAGGCTGTTGAAGAGGACAATTGATTCGGAAAGGAGAGTCGACATGGCATTTCTACAGTCCACCCACTGCTGAAGTGAATGAGTCAACACACACCGGGGAGCAGTACAAGTTTCCATCACCGTGAGTAATACCAATGTGATAATGTCTGTTGGTGAGACTTAATATCTGTTTGATGACATACATTTACAATGTGCAGGACATTAAGGAGTTTTGGCTCAATTTCAACACCAATTGAACAATGAGATGACCAAGATTCAAAACTTAGTTTGTGATGAATTAGTTAAGCTGGAAAATAAACTTCTTAACCGGGGAGGCAATGAAGAAGAAGGAAAAGAACACCACACTGATGAGGAGTGAAAATGAGCGGCCACAACATGAGGAGTTATGACTGTAAGAGAGCGGAAAACAACATGAAAGTGGTGACAAAATTGGCATGATGATGAACAGCAAGAAGAAGAAGAAGAAGAAAGTAAGATGAAGACGAGAACGACAATGTGAGAGAATATGAATCTACAGATAAGGATACTGAAGATGAACAGTGCTCAAAACGGAAGAAGGGAAATGGTGGGTAAAGCATGCAGCTACCCATAAGGAGGTCAGTAGACGTAAAGTCCCAGCAGTTAAATCTCCTTCACATGTCTACTTATGGCAGAAAGGTGAAAATGAGGAGAGGGATGCATTTTATACTGTGTGTACTGATTGGTGTTGTCAACCAGATGAGGCTCAAGAGTAAGTATATCCAGTTATGGAAAAGACAGCCTGTGAATAATACTACTATGCAACACTGACTACTTATTTTCACTTTCATATTTGTTGTAGGGTCATGGTAGATATGTTTGGGCATTTGGCAACACGATCAGACCTACAAGCACTGGGTCCCAGAAGGTGGATAAGCAACAGGGTACGTGCACCTATTCAAGTTACATCAAAGTGGCCATATATGGAATGTGCCACAATTTTAATTTAATTTTCCTGCTCCTTTATTCTACAGATCATGACTCTGATTGCCCACACCTTGAACGCTGACCAACATGAGAGTGCCTCTGCGGTTAAAAGACACATATTTGATGCAGATTTCACGGTTAGTGCTATCCCCTGTTAATGGATCAATGCTTTAAATTGTGCAATAAAGTTATCGATACAGTTTCTTCACTGACAATTTGCATTGCTGTGCAATTTGCTGTTGTGATAGGCAAGGATGGTGCAGCAACACACAGCATGGCAAGTGGACAAACACCTGAAAGAACTACTTCCCCAACACGTGGGATACAATTTGGCTGAATGTGAATACATATTTGCACCTGTTGTGTTTGCACTGCATTGGTTTTGCTTTGTGTTTGAACCGAGCACACTAAAGTTTTATGTGCTGGACTCTCTGCGTGGTGGTGAGGATACAATGAAGCACCAAAAGAAGAAGAATAAGTCTGATCCAGCATTAAAGGGGCAGCAAATGATGGCGCAAACTTTTGTAAGTGGTGTAATTATTCTGCTACTTTTGTGTTGGACAACCATAGTATCCCCTGTGTGATAATCATCTGTAATTGTGTAGAGGGCACACTTCATTGAAATACTAAGGAGAGTGAAGCCTGAGCTGGAGGGGTTGGCCAACCCAGATTCAAACAATGACATCTTGTATCCCACGGTTCATGTTCAAGACAATACGTGAGTCTTTTGTTCACTGAAAGTTATTTGTCATAAATTATAATCGACATACATAAGCCAGCATAGTGATGTGTTCATTTTTTCAGTGATGATTGTGGGGTTCATGTCATCACATATCTAAGAGAGTGGCCCAACCCACAAGAGAAGGATGGAGTTCTATTCACCATGCCTTATTATACAGCGGTAGGTGTTGAATTATATATTAATGACATCATGCATTTGTGTCAACTTACTGAGAACAGTTGTTGTTGTCCCATAGGATCAATACACATCTATACGGTGTGAGCTATTGTGGTGGCTCGTGACGCATCAAAGAAACATCAAGTCAGATGCTGTTACCAAACACCTTGACCACATTAACAGACAACGCAAGAGAAAGCGATGACTGATCAAATCCTACCTTGTAGTTTTTGCTGATAAGCACTGTAATTGTTGTTGTGAACACTTTATGCGGACTAAAATGTTGTGCATACAAACGATGTTAATGAAGACTGTTTTGATGGATTCATATTATCACTACTTGTTTACTTTCATTAGATGTACGGTTAACAACAAAAATTAGGGAATTTGCACCAAAAAACAGGAATTAACACCAAATGTTCGTCCATTTCCAACTGAACAACCTACATCAGGGATTAGACCTTTGCACGAACGATTAGACAATTTGCAAGAGAGACAAATAAGTTAACAACAGAATTAGAGCATTCACAAGTGTCGTTCATTGCTGAACAACGTGTCCTCTTAAATATGCAAGTGCCCTCCTTCACCTGAATAAGGTGTCCATTTCCATGAGGAACTAGGGAATTTGCTACTCCGATACATATATTCACAACTGTAATCAGTCCATTTACATGTGCCGTCCTTGACCTGAACAGGGTGCGCATTTGCAAGGGGAACTAGCCAATTTGCACAACACATACCGATATTCACACGTGGAATCAGTCCGTTCACATGTCGACTGGTGCAGCTGAAGCAGTGTCCGTGAGGGAACAAGTGCGGGAGAGCGCATTTGCAAGGGGAACTAGCCAATTTGCACAACAATAATACCTATATTCACACGTGGAATCAGTCCGTTCACATGTCGACTGGTCCAGCTGAAGCATGTGTCCGTGAGGGAACAAGTGGGGAGAGCGCATTTGCAAGGGGAACTAGCCGATTTGCACAACAAATACCTATATTCACACGTGGAATCATCCGTTCACATGTCGACTGGACCAGCTGAAGCATGTGTCCGTGTGGGAAGTGCGGGAGAGCGCATTTGCAAGGGAACTAGCCAATTTGCACAACACATACCTATATTCACACGTGGAATCAGTCCGTTTCCATCGACGGTCCAGCTGAAGCATGTGTGTCCGTGGGGGAACAAGTGCGGAGCCGCATTTGCAAGGGGAACTAGCCAATTTGCACAACACATACCTATATTCACACTGGAATCAGTCCGTTCACATGTCGACTGGTCCAGCTGAAGCATGTGTCCGTGGGGAACAAGTGTGGGAGAGCCATTTGCAAGGGGAACTAGCCAATTTGCACAACACATACATATTCACATGTGGAATCAGTCCGTTCACATGTCGACTGGTCCAGCTGAGCATGTGTCCGTGGTGGAACAATGCAGGAGAGCGCATTTGCAAGGGGAACTAGCCAATTTGCACAACACATACCCTATATTCACACGTGAATCCGTCCGTTCATTTGCAAGGGGACTAGCTATTTGCAAGACACATACTTGGCTTCACATGTGGACTGATTCACCTGATGCATGTCTTCCTTAGTATGGGACAGCCCATTTACAATGGGACTAACAATTCGCACATACATATATTTTCACAACTGTAATCATCCATTTACATCTGACCTACTCGTACCTGAAGAAGGTGTCCGTGGTGAACAGCAGGGGAAGGGCCCATTTGCAAGTGAGATTAGACAATTTGCAACATACATACAAATATTTACAACTAAAAATAGTCCATTTGCATGCGGACTGATTCACCTGGAGAAGCTGTCCAAGTATGGTTTCTTATACCATTTGCAAGTGACATTAGACAATTGGCAACATACATATATATTCACAACTGTAATCAGTCCATTTACATATGACGACCTTCACCCGAAGAAGCTGTCCGTCAGTGGACAGGCAGGGAATCTCCGTTTGCAAGTGACATTACACAATTTGCAACATACATACAAATATTTACAACTAAAAATAGTCCATTCGCATGTGGACAGATTACAGCCTAACATATCCTGCGACAGCTATAGTCACCTACTGTCATGAAATTTTTCAACTATTGACACCCACTATACAAAATATAATCGAACCCACCACCAAAAAATCAAAATGGGTTGTCATAGCTACTTCCCCAACAACTCAACAACTACATAGTGGGGCTCATTTATGTACAAAAGTAGCTGTGTGTTGAACCAAAAAAATAAAAGACCATTTTGAGCAACAAAGTCACCCAGGGTTCGGGTTAGTGCAAATCTTTCTAGTGTGACCAGCTTCACCACATCCTGAGCAATGATACGCTTTCTTCTGCTGGAATTGTGATTCAATCCTCCTACCTCTGGGTCTTCCAGCACGCCGAGTTGTCAATGGTGGTTGTAGGAAGATGGTGGACGAGTAATCTTCATATCGAAGGGAATCTGGCCTAGGGATGTCATGGGTCTCAACTGGAATCATGAGTCTGCCATAAATTTTCTTTGGGCTGAGAGTAAAAAGCAATCCTCGACATATGCATATATATTACCATATACCTTCTTGATTGCAGCACACGCATGTGGGCAAGGTAGTCCTGACATTTGCCAACCTTTGCAGGTGCATTCACGTAACACAAGATTTACCCGCACATCTAGGTTTCCCCATCTGACCCTGAAATTGTTCATTCCATAATTTTGCACATCCATTCTTTCTGATCTGGCCACATGATCCATCAACTTTCCTCTATATTAGGTCCCACACCATTGCTCCAATTCGTCATGGCTTCTTTGCTGTGGTACATCTTGTTTGCCAATTTTTCCCTGTGCTCATGTATCAAGACAGCTATGTTGTGCTTCCTCTCACCAACAAGCCAAGCATTAAAGGATTCCGCTAGATTTGTTGTGATATTGTCCCACCTCTTGTAAGGAAATTTGCTTTGTGCCCAACGCTCAATGTCTCCATTTGTTTGAAGCCATTGTCCTAATTCTGGACAAAATGCCATTAGCTTTTCCATACTGCAATCAAAGTCTCTATCAAGTCTTGCGTATGCAATAGAATCAAGTAATTTTAGTGCAACTTCCTTTGTCTGTCCGCTGGTCCCCTCTTTCCCCTGGTTATCTTCAAAACTCAGCACTGTAATTCTCCTTCACATGACGGTAGCAAAAAGCATGTCGATCTCCTCCAAACACGGCTTGCACTGCACCTTTTATTGAGTTGTGTCTATCCGATACTATTGTCACTTCTAATGAGCCCGTAATATCCTTTATGTTACCAAGAAACCATGCCCAGTCATCAAGCGCGTCTCACCTCCAACAATCGCATATGCAAGTGGGAATAATTCATTATCCGCGTCATACGCTTGTGCTCCCAATAACGTTCCTTTGTACGGACCACTCAAGTGGCATCCATCCACATATAATACAGGTCTGCCACCTTTCAAAAACCTTCTCTACACAGCAACCGTATGCAATAATACAGCTTGAAATCTATTATCTGATGATGCAACCCACTTTGCTACCGTTTCTGGATCACTTCCTTCAGCCTTTCACATATCCAAGGGATTAGCATATAAGACTCCTGCGGACAACCATGATTTTTTCCAATGCTTTCTCTTTCGCCCTATATGCTTGTTGGTAGTTGAGCCTCAACCCATACTCTCTTTCCAAATCCCGTCTAATGTCATTTGGAGCTTTGTGCATGCAAGAAATCAACTCATCTATTATGACTGCTGAAGCAAGTTTGCACCTCTTTCTCTGAGGGACAACTAAGTTGTCTTGTGCATAATGCAAGTGTTCATAGTTAAATCTTCTCACAACTAGGAATCCATTATTCTCACCTACACCATATGCTGAAATTTCCCAGGGACAACCATCTACACAGCACTTCACAATCATCTTATGCCTATCATTCTTTACGTACCGTAACCAAACTTGTGTGCAAGGCTATACTTATATAATGCCTCTCTAAAATGTTCAGCACTAACAAAGTTTGCCCTCTTGACATCAACAAATCTGCCCACTTTGATGAATTCATCACCGCTATTGGGGTTGGCAACGTTTCCATACCTACACTTCCTATCAGTGTTGGCACATCTTGTACGGAAGATATGTTTATGTTGTCTGTGTCTAGATCCAATTCCATTGCAGATACTGACATTCCACAAGGGCCAACCAATCATCTAACCTGCATAAAAACAAATACAGCTATTCAGTATTACAGTTCATTTATCAAAATTGGACATATTCTTTCTTATCCTACACACAATCTTAATAAACTAGTTTGAAACAACTTACTCTTGTACACTGTCGAGCTGTGACACTTGTGTGAAGTCTTTCTCATTCTCACAAACATAAACATGGCCACTACTATTGTTGTACTCAATTACTTGTCCAACACCAATATCGTCAACAAGATCCAAGAATGTATCCCGTCAAAGCTAACTGTGTACTTCATTTATATTCACGAGTCCCTGGCCACACATCATGA